GCTTGGCTGGGTGTTGCAGGGGGGCGCAGCCCCCGCCCTGGGAGAGACGGGCAGTTCGGGCTTAGGAACGCGTGACTCCGGCTGGGCCCGACACCCCCTGCTATCCTCGCTGTACAGATGGGGAAAACGAGGCCCACAGGCCCCCACAGGTTCCCCAGGGACTCCGCCCACCCACATTCTGCCCTTCGTGGGGCGCCAGGGTTGAGCGGCTGGTACCTTCTTGTACACGAGGTCGATGGGGCAGCCGACGTTGATGTCCACGAAATCCACCTCGATGGTGCGGTGCAGCAGCTCGGCACACTTGGTCATGGTGTCGGGGAAGGCGCCCTCAAGCTGTGGCGGGTGGCCGGGCAGTGGGTGAGGGGCCCTCCCTGCCTGGCCCTGTGCCAAGGCCAGCAGCTACTGGAGGTGCATTAGGCTGGCACCTGGCCTGTGGCTGAGGCAGGGGGTCTGGGAGGTGAGCCAGGAGAGCCCGGACCCGAACGTAGCTCTGAAACATGGCAGCTGAGAGCCCCTCCTCCCTCCCTCCCTCCCTCCCTCGCTCGGGGCTGCACCGACCTGGACACCGAAGACATCCTCGCAGGGGTGGCGTTTGAGCAGGGCCCACTCAGATGTCTGGCCCTGCAGCAGGTTGATGCACACAGCCATCTCCCCGCACGTCACATCTGCCCCAAAGCGCTTACAGACCCGTCGGAAGGGCAGGTTCCCGCACTGACGACAGCAGGGGACAGATTCACATGTGAGGGCACGGCAGGCAGGGACCCCAGACACCCGCCCAGGCCCCAAGCCCCCAGGGCGGGGAGGCAGTGGGTACTGCTGGGATGACCATGCTGCCAGCTCCCAGCCCACCTCACTGTGGGTCCTACCGTGGTGAGGGGGGCAAGGTACAGTTTGCCACTGATGTCCAGCTGGTGGGAAAGAAAATGCACAATGAACCTCCACCCTCCAACGTGGCTTTCAAGGCCTCTCAAGCCTCAAGCCTCCCCAGTCTTTGCCCCACACGCTTTGTCCTGCCCCAATCAGCCTGGATCCCTTTCACCGCCGTGCCTCTGCACAGGCCAACCAATCCCTCCACCAGGAATGTTCTTTTCTCCATGTTCTCCTCCACTAGAGACTTCTACTCAACTGTCAAAACCCCAATCCCAATGCCCTCTCTTCCAGGAAGCCTTTCCCACTGCCCCCCTCTGCCACAGCCCAGGCCCTCCAGAGCTGGGAGTGAGTGTCCAGCTCTATCTGCCCCCAACACTGCTAGTGTCCTCTGCAGGAAGCCCATGACACGTACCCGCTTCTTCTCACAGGGCTGCAACCTGACTACATCCTCATCTGTCAGGGGCCCGCAGGTCCTTAAAGGGCCCCTGGGAGGAGTAACGGTGCCCAGCCCCTGGGGGGCCTGCTGAGTGTCGCAGTTGTCCTGCCCTGGGGCACCCTCAGCCTCCATGACCTCGGGGACAGTGGCTTTGGGAGTGGGGCCTGGCAGCTGGCCCTTGCTCAGCTGGCGCAGGGCCTGCTCTGCACGCTTGAAGTGGATCTTGCGCTTTCGCAGTTGCTGCTGCAGGACCTTGTCCAGGCCATTGCGGATGGGCGGGGCCTGGACCAACCCCTCCTTCACCAGATTCTGGCCCTCGGGCCCCAGATGGGCCCCAGCAAAGCGGCAGGTCACACCATAGGGGCACTTGCCGAAGGTCTCAAAGAGCACACAGTGGGGGCCCAGGTCAGCTGGCTTGGTCTCCAGGTAGCGGCCCACGTCGTGCAGGAAGCGGCAGCGGTCGCCATAGAAACACTTAGCGGAGGATTCCTGCAGGGAAACAGGGAGGCAATGAGGGAGGACAGGGAGATGCTGAGGCAGCCAGGCAGCCTGGGTTTGAACCTCAGCTCTCTCCTCTCCTGACTGTGTGCCCTCAGACAAGTCAGTAACCTCACCAAACCTCAGTTTCTTCACCTGGAAAACGGGAACAATAACGACACTTACATCATAACGTCATGAAGATTGAATGGGGGGCAGAGAGGCTCACACTCAAGGCCTCTGGGACTTTCTGGAGACCGTGACACTCACCTGGACCAGGGAGGGGCAGAGCCTGTTCTTGTCATAGTGGGTGGGCTTCACATGGGGCCGGCATTTGTTCTGACCCCGGGCCCTCTTCTGAGCCTGTGGCTGCTCCCCAGGCTCAACAGCCTCCTCTGTCTGCCTGTCCTCTGTCTGCCCATCCTCCAGCCGGATCCGCTTGGCCTCAGGCTCATCCAGGTCATGGCCATCAGGGTCTCCAGCCTCGGTTTCCTGGCTGGGCTTCTCCCGCCCTTTGGCTTCCAGGAATTCGTGGAAGTGCTCCTTGGTGGTTAGGTATCTGCCAGCAGAGGGGCAGGGGAAAGGAGGGCTTGTGGAAGAAGTCCCTCCCCTGAGCTCAGATTCAACGAACGCTGGGGAAAGGGCCTGAGAACACTTGTCCCTGATTACATGCTTCTGCTGATGGGGTGCTCACTACTTAGAACTAGCCAGCCGCCAGCCTAGGAGCACCTCAAGGCCACAGGGAGGACCTATTTTGTTTATTTTCTTTATTATTATTTTTTGGCTGCATCGGGCCTCAGTTGCTGCACGCGCAGTCTTCGTTGTGGTGCGCAGGCTTCTCTCTAGTTGTGGCGTG